AGACTCCTAAGACGACATGCCTAGATTGCCGACACATGTATTTTTGCTGTGGCGAAGATACTAAACACATAACTATTCAAAGAAAAGAACCATCCTAAGCACATGGCCATCTGGTGGGCAGTATAATCAGAAGTTATTTTGGGCACTAATCAATCAAAGCATTTATGAAAATGGTTTGCCGTGGATATAGTTAGATTTCACGATCTACATGTACATGGGAAACAGAGTGATAACAGTAATTTTGTCCCTTACCCATTAGATCCTCCAAATCTTCCACTGATGTGGACTGGTGATTAGAAAAAAGAAGAATACTTTTTCTAAGTGGGATTATGACACATGATTACTTTCACTCATGTCTAGTGTATTTTGATTATCAAATTGCTAACTTTAGTATGGCTCACTTTATGAATTTAGAGGAAGAAAGTATCTGGTAAGAACTATTCTGAAACCTGCTATGATTCTGTGGGCTAATGGAGTGTGTACTTTTCCAGGGTGTCAAAGGCTGGTTGGCCATGAGAAGCTGCGGTGGCAAGTTGACCACTCTCCCCTCAAATAAATACAAAGAGCTGCTGAGAGGCAAGTTTTCAACCGAAGCTTCTTCGATTTCAAAACCATTAATACTTTGCATACATTCCAAGTATTGACAGCTAGATTCAAGCAAACGTCAGTCACCAAACCAGACTAGTGTGTTTCGTACTACTAAATAAAAATATAACATATTGCAAGAGTGATAATGCAACTCAGGTTAGCATGCTGATAAGGCTTAGGTGTCAAGCGCTTGCTGACATCGTTGAATTCCTGCACGCCCCGGGATCCTCAGCCTTGCGTCAAATGGTTGTGGATCGAAGGGCACGCGAAGAAACAGCATCAGCATCTTAGCGAAATTCGTGGTCATGGCGAAAGATGCTGCAGACAACTGAACATGTTTGCTTAATGTTGAAAAGAATGATACCAACCAACCCTGTATCAACCCTGAAAACTGCATGTAGATAGCTACGGCGCATCTATAGTTGAAAGCTCAATCTGGGGGAAAAAACACCCATTCGTAATAAGTCGTATATCTCATTGTTGGAGAAGAGGAAATTGAAATTTCACTCTGTTTTCTTACTGGAGTTGGTGGGAGAAAGGCATCCCTCGTCTTATAAAACTAACTGCTGGTTTTCCCTTGCAATTGCAGCCAGCCTTCCTTCGTCCCCACATGGTGAAAGTTTAAAACGATGACCAAGTTCCTCCATGTGGCTGCCCTTTCAAGTCATGTTCCTGCAACCTAACAATCTTCCTTTACCCAAAGGTACGTTATCAACATTGCTGTAGACGGGACTCGGGAGCACATATCCTAGGAAGTTACTGTCGAACATGGCTGAAAGATTCATCATAGCATCATTCGGCCATCCCATAAGCGTCATCTAGTGACAAAAAAGTTGGTAGGGGTTTACATGGGAACGGACGACTCGCTTGAATCATATCTTAATCCACACAACTCGATACCTTAGATATGAGAAACTATCGACTTTTGGCCCAATATGAGAGATTCTATCGAGTTTCATGTGGTCAACTCTATACATGTCACTTTGACCCATTAAGGGAGTCAGTATGATTGAGAATTGCACCGTACCAAGAAAGTAAGCGGAGTGACTTGCAGCTACAAAATGAAACTGCAAATCACGCTTTGTTTGTGATGCAGTGCGGTTGAACTACATCGACTGCATACTCTCACATCATAATTCAAACTCTCGTTGTGCTCATTATTTTAGCTACGTTGTTCCACGTTTCAATGTGCAATAGAAACCTCTACATCGGGGGTTGGGTCTAGCTTACACCAAATAGCGTTTCGGTTTGGCTCGGTTCGTGGCTGTACGATGCGTTCAACCACACTAAAATGGCTACCCCTACTACTAGTCATGATCCAGGTAACACAATCCGATCATTTGATGCTTGTGCTATTATTTCATTGACAGTAATATCTTAGGGACAGATTCTTGTGGGTTTGATTAGGCAATTAGGGAGCAGAGTCTTTCGTCAATCTGGTTCACTACTTGATTTGAGATGATTTTGATGAACAAGGAAAAAAACAAGGTAGGGCCCACATCCTACGACTTTTAAGTTTTTTTTTTTTTTTTTTTTTTTGGCTGTTGATGAATCTTTTTAAGTTATTTTCCCTGTCGGTACTAAAAATAATTTAGGACTAGTCTGTTGGGTTCGCATAGAAGTCCAACCCACACCGCCAGGCGGCAATCGTTAATTCAGCCACGTTCCTCGCCTGTTGTTGGGTGTTTCGGGTTCATTGCTTGCACTTTAGTTTCTCCACCGACAGTACTCTGTTTTATTTTTATTTTGGGAAAATGTCACATTTAGTCACTGTGTAATGTTAAGTCACTAGATAAATTTAATATTAATTTTGGAGACTTGAATTACTAAAACTGGTCATATTTAGTCACTCTCCCGTTAGTTTCCATCCAACTGGACGGAAATAATGGAGTTGGACGGCTAAATTTGACATGTTTTAATAATTTGAGTGATTAAATGTGACATGTTTCAATAATTCGAGTGACCAGAGTTGGACAAAGGCTACAGGAGTGACCAAATGTGACATGTTTCAGTAATTCGAGTGACCAAAATTGAAATTAAATTTTTCTAGTGACTAAACATGATATAATTTAGAAATCTCAGTGACCAAATGTGGCATTTACCTTTTTTTTTTATTTTACCTTATGCCCTATCCTCAAAAAACAAATAGATTAGACAAATCGGTTTTATGTTTTGAGAAGTTAATTTCCCATTTTATATATAAATAAATGGGGAATTATGTGGGGAAAAGGTTGACCCCATTATGTAACATAATCGAAAGCCACGATCAGTGTATGCATTTCTCCACTGCATGAAAAAGGCTTTCACCCAACAATGGCTTTTGGATTCTTGGAAAGGTGGTGGTGATGTGATCAGGAAACAACTATAATTTTGTCATTTACAATAATTGTCTCTCGACTTTGATTAGCCATCGTTGTTTTCACTCAATGGTTCAAAAGAAAGTATTGGTTTTGGACAGAAAGATTTTCTAGTTCAAATCTCATTAGCATCATATTTAAAATATTGAGTTGAAGACGTTAAACTAGTTGCAGGCATTGGGGTCCTACCTTGCGTCTAAGACGTCGGTTAGGCATTTCAACTTAGTCTACCGTATCAAAACATGATATGATTTGAAAAGGACATCAATGCAGAGGGTCGGGCCGGGTCGGGTCGATAAGAGCTAGTAAAATTGGAAACTATTGTTGTCGACGATGAAGAGAACAAGGGAGAAAGCCAAATCGGTCGAAGTTGGATAATAATTGAAGAAGTGTTATGAATTCCTCAAGGGAGAGGGGCAAGTCGGTCAGAGTTGGGTAATAATTGAAGAAGTGTTATGAATGCCTCAACTTGATTAATTGTGTGTTATGAATGCCTATTTTTTTTATCAATTACATCTACAATTATAATTCTTCCAATCAAAGGAATAAGCATATAAATCATAAAATATATGCCACTAACAAAGCAAATACGATAGACATAGTACTGCAATCCTTGATTCGCCCTAATTTTGTGTTCTTTTTTCTAAAACGATGAATAGGGTAATATATTTGGTGTTTTCGTCTTGGATTTTGCCATCTATCTAAATTGTGGAGACAAAAAATCAGATGTCACTGTCTTATTCTTCTTTTTCTACGTGTTCTTTTATCAGAGAAATAGCCCGGCTAGTGGAAAATGAGAAAGCTGACTGATGAAGAAGAAAGAGAAGGCCTTTTTGGCAAACGAAATTGTTGTATATGATTGATTGGCCATTCTCCCTTCTCTTTGGGGGCTTTGGCTCTCTTATTCACGTCCACGGTTCACATTTTGATCATCTTGGTGACCTTTCTTCGAATACAATCCATTTAAGGGGAAAACGTGATTCTTTAGCTTATGTTGTAATAATGCATGCATGTGTGGTGTACATCTACTTTGCATTTCATGTATCGGTGTAATTTATTGTTGATTGGCAAGAGAAGTACTTCAATCAAGTTGATGTAATAATTGTGTTTGTATTGACAATGTTATGTTATTTCTTCTCTGGGCTGAGCGCAGGTAACTAACGACGAATGAGGACTTGATCTAGCGGTTGTATTCTGATTCTTCAATATAAGGTTGTAGTTTCTATTTTTTCGTGGAACAAAAAAAAATTTTGATAACACTCTCATAAAAACGGTAGCTACATTCTACGGGTGGTTTCTATTATTTTCTTTTACATGATTGATTGAGTCGAGGTTTTTAGGATCATGTACTTCCAGCTTCTTGGGGGTTGAACGAGCAGGGGAAAAATCACCTTCTATAGTTGTGACTAATCTCTCAAAACAAGTATCATGAACATGAACCTATCAATGACTTCCCATATAATAAATTATACACTCATGAGTCATGACTCATTATTAAACAACGAGACGACGAACCACCATGCCTATGGTGTTGGTGCCCAAATTATTGTTTGATTAACAATGAGAAACAAAATGATGTTCACTCTAACATTTGTATTTATCAATGCCTAATTTATTCTATAGGCCCTGTAAATTCAAATCTATGTACCTATTATTAAATACATTGTATAATTCAATATTTTGTTTATACCAAGAAGAAAAAGGAATCATTTAACACTAATTAATTCATACTAGTTAGAGGGTCCAAATCACCAATCAAAAGCTTCCTCATTCCATCTTTTTCTCTAGCCGTCTCAATAACCTCTCATCATCTAAATTGGAACATACGGAACCAACCAACCTACCTGGTCGCAAAAAGTAATCCAGCCTAGCTTTCCTAAGAAACCCATTATTAATAACCAATTTCCAATTATGCAATTTAAACCCCCTCCATAATTACACCTAACCAGGTAATCAACCACTAATCAGAAGTTAATCCACTCTCAACAGAGATGTGGAATAGAAGGAGAATTACGCATTATATCTAATCGAAAACTTTGAATCCGAAATTCGACGATACAATCATTCGATTAATTCTGCATTGGCGGTATCTTATAGAACACTAAAAACTTACTGTTCAACATTAACTAATTTCTTATTGCAGAGTTCACTGATTCATTCATTCATAATCATTCATCCAACACACCTAGAATATGCTCTTTTTAGCTATACAGTCTTTCGCCGTTAACATTGGTAAAAAACACAGTAAGAAAACGACAGTAAAAAGTTTATTTTTTTTCCCCCACTTCACAAAATCAAAATTCACAGAGAAGTTGATATGTGTATAGACAAACAGTAAAAAAAATTATTAACTTCTGTATAACCTTCCCCTCTTTTCCATCTACATCCTTCCTTCCGCTACTACACAATTCCACCCGTGTCGGCCGCCGGAATCTCGACATCCCGATATCTCCGGCCGTCCGCCGGCCTATAATCCCGCTTCGGATTCGTTCAATTCGTGCCGCCATTTACGGGTTTCTTTCACCTTTCCGCGTTTCCCCACCCCAATTCCCGGTCAGGAATCCAAAGCGAACGGCGTCTGCAACAGATCGTACGGAGCCCAGAGCGCGTCAAGCGGACACGGCCGATTGGCGTCGAGCCGGGCCCACGGCTTCCCTTTCCCGCTCCAATGCAGCAAGCTCACCGGCCCCGGATGCAAATCCCGGCAAAGCCCCCTGAAATTGTCCCCTCCCAGGCCGTGCTGGTTCCACCGGTGGTTCACGGGGACGATTTCGCCGGCGAAGACGAGCAAGAAAGGCGGCAGGGAACCCAATTCGTAGATCCGAATTCGCTTCTGCAGCTCCATCCACTCCTCGATTTTGGTTGTATAATCCCCTTCCCTCCACCGATCCAGATCTATCACCATAACCCCGGTGTTGAAATAGCACGCCCTCCTGTCCGCGAAAGTGAGCGACAGAGAAGGGTTGGACCAAAACGTAGGGGTAAAATAGGAAGTGAAATTGGCGTTGCAGTACTCCGGCGCCGCCAGCACCGCCCTCTCCCCGAGGTCGGTCCTTGCCAGCCTGGCAATGTCGTCGACGAGGACGAGGTCGGAGTCGAGGTAGACGATCCGCCGGACACACATGGGCAGGATGTTGGCGAGATAGCTGCGGGCGTAGTTGAGGGGACAATCGAGCGCGGAGCGGATTGAGGTGGAGATTAGCCGGGCGACGGAGGAGTCGTCGAAGGAGTAAACCCGGAAGTTGAGGTAAGGGAAGGAAGAAGAGATGGTGGCGCGTAGGGCCGACGCGTCGGCGGATTGGGAGGCGACGAAGTGGAAGGCGATGTTCTGCGGGCAGGAGGAGTGCTGGAGGACGGAGAGGATCGCGGCCATGGAGCCGCGGATGTAGGCCGTGTCGAGGGTCATCGCCACGTGGACGGCTCGATCCGAGCAGAATATTGCGCCGCCTACGCGGTCGCCGGCGGCGCCTTCGCGTTCGTCGTCCCAGTCGATTGCGGGACATTCAGGGGAGTTGTAGAATTGAGGGGCTTCTTTGAATTGGTGGGTGGAAGGGTGTGGAAGAGGAGCTCCGACGCTAATGGCGGCGGAGGAGGCGGCATTGGAGGTCAGGAGTAGAATTAGGAAAAAGGGGAGGTGGGGATTTGGGAATCCCGGCATGGGAAGGAATTGTGGGGAAGAAGAAGGAGATTTGCGATGGTGTTCGAATTGGGAAAGGGAAGTAGTAGTGGAAAGGAGTCGAAGGAAGGAAGGAAGTAGAGGAAGGAATTCTTTTTGGAGGGGGGAACTTAGGATCTTGAGGTTCTTTGGACCTTTTTTATTTGCTTCCTTTCTGGCTAGCTGGCTTAATACTTAATAGTAAGTTACTAGAAGTGTTGAATAAGCCATTTGGTGCTTACTTATAATTTTCAATTTGGGGAGAATGAGGCATTTGATGCTCTTTTATAGGAAGGGCATGGTGGGAATTGGAAACGAGCCGAAATGGATATAAACTGAATCGGTGGATGGAAGAGACGCGGCGGTGATTGTAGGTCGGGTTAAAATGGTATTCAATTTTATTTATGTTTTTTTGGTATGATTTCGAATGAGTGTTGTTTACTTTTTTGTTTGTATAAGTTGGTTGGAAGATAAACAAACTCTACAGATTACGATTTATAAACCTAGGATCGAAATTAGGTCGAGTTGTTTAGAATCTGGTCTGACTCCAGATCAGCGTAGAATTGAACTGGGAAATGAAAGAGATTCAAGGATAAGGACTGAACCGAAAACACTATGAGCATTGATATCAAACCGGATTGTATGTGGTTTGATTTTGAGTTGGATGTTGGTTGGGTTCGGTCTCAAATGATTCGGTTTGGACTTTGGACGAACCGGATTGTTGCTCTTGCGATGTTATGTGTTGATATATGAAAGAGGGGCAAATGGGGAAACAAGAGGGGGTGGCTGGCAGGGTGGAATAAAATGGAATTGGGTCAATGATTTGGGTTTGGTTTGGTTTGTTTGGAGTCTTGTGGTTGGGAAAGGGAGTTGGTTTGCATCTTTCACATTTGGTTGTGGACTGGAAGCCTGTCGCCTCCCCCTTAAGAAAATGGGTCCCAAACGACTAAAAATCGTGGTTTGTGAATTGTTTAAAATTATGGTTGATGATACTGATATCCAATTGTTAATCAATTTTCCAAATGGTTGTTTTGGGACTCACTTTTACTTGGTATTTATTTGTTATTAATTATTGCATACCATTTGCGCATTGGTAAATCAAGCAGCATGCATTTCCATTTTTCTACTTTTGATTAAGTGGTGTGGAGAAGGTAACTTCTACCACATACCAAGAGAGTAAAAATGGGGGTAGAAAAAAAATATTAAAGAGGGAATGGATGGAAATCAGCATCTAATACCTACCAATGCAGTTTAAAATGTCATTTTTCACTCAAATAAGAAACTTCACCCCCTCCCCCTTCAATTTTACTGGATTCCCATTTTTACCAAATCCTAAATACAATGTTGGGTAATTTCGTGTTTGGGCTATCTTGCTTGGCTACCTTCGTAGGTATGTGATTAGCGATAAGACAGGTCTAGTTCGCTTAAGACGTGAAAAAACTGAGTAGTTATGGTGTATTACGCTGTTGATTTACGTCGTCATGGTCATCTGGTTAAAATTAAATCTAATGATTGAAAAATATACGAATACACTTACGCCTCTTTCATTTCGACAACCAAGAGAATCGGACAATATTTTTCCATACATAAGTACTGTTTTGATGTGAGTGTTCATCTTTAATTTTTTTTTGAATGAGAGTGTTCGTCTTTAATTTAATACAAAGTTGGGCAAAAATTGACATTTTTATCTTGATGAGGAAAAACAGCACTTGACTAATAATAATAAAAACAGCACTTTGCCACTTTGGTTAAAACGCCTTAATTACTAAGAGGGATTTGGGTTAACTTAGCTGGAGCGACAGCCTACAACTACAAGGAACAAAATCTCAGAAAGCGCGGGAGGTGGGTTATTTAATTGATCAAATCTTTCAATTAAAGTTTTCTCTTTTCTTCCACTTTGGAATTCACTGACAGCTTCAGTCGTCTGAATGAATAATCAGCAACAACAATAATAATAATATGAACAGAAAACTGTGAAAATATCACAGAACTGCAGCAGGAGGCACGATAAACTATGACGCTTTGTCATTGTTACCGACCTGTTGGTTTTTGGGGTTTTAAGTTCTTTTTTAACTTTATGCAGTTTGGTCTCTTTGGTTTATCCAACAATCGGGCTCATGAGCTGGTGGTCGGCGAGGTGCAATGTTGGAAAAAAGGACTTCATGAGGTCACATTTGGAGGAGAAAAGAGAAAACTATCGCTGACAAAGTCATAGCAGAGACGGCTCGTGATGGTTTGATTTGGCAATGTGTGGTTTCGGACGAGATCGAGCGGTAGCGATTGCTATGTTTGATGTTCGGTGTGTTGATCGTACGCGAATCGGATTGGTGGCATTTCGTTTTACGTAGTGGTTGATATTTTGTTAATAATCTTTATATCTGTCATTTGCTCGCTTAATACAAGTGATCTGTTGATAAAAACGAATTGAACTCTAACTGCACCAACACCATGAACATGATTCAGCAAACCCTAAAACATGAATGGTTTGAAACGGGTAGTAGATAAACGATGAATAAAATGGGTCGAAAATGAAACTGGTCAAGGCAGGGGTGAATTACGAAATGAGTCGTCTGATCCCTAGCTTGAATCGTAACCAACACACATCAAATGAAACAACCATAATGTTTCCTTATGTTGGCTTCATGATTCTAAGGGATGACAATTTCGACCTGATGACCCGATTCACCCGACCTGTTTGCCCTGTTTTGGGGCGGATCCGACCTGCCACGTAGGTGGGGCGGGGAGAGCATGGGTACCTCTCATCGACCCGACATGCCCTGACCCGTCCCATTCTCGACCCATTCTTGCCTAAATTACATGTAATCTTAGTCAAATTACTTAGGATTTTCCTCTTATTACATCATATTTTAGCTATGATAAAGTTGTAAATAGGTGAAAATCTCAATTTCTCCAATAATTTAACTACATTTTATCATATTATGGTTTCTTTCTTGGTCTTTTAATGAAAATAACGAATATTTCTAATATTTGTCGCATAAATTACATACTCATTGGGTCAACCTACCCCGACCCACGCCCCATTATATATTACCCGCTCTATACCCGATCTGTTATGAGCGGGTATAGGAATCGATACACCCACCCCAGACCTGCCAAGTCATTCCTAATGATTTTCCTTACCCTTGGGAACGATTATGGATACTAAACACAAAGGAAAAGAACAAGAAGAAAAGGTGAAAAGGAGGGAGAGATTCGGCCGCTTTCATTCTTATTGGTCAGTTCAAGCCAATAAGAACTGTAACTAATTAATTAGCTAGCTGTAGGTTGCCCTGTTCCACACATAGTTAGCAACACTAAATTATGGTTAATTTAATTAATGTACTTAATTAATTAGGTGTAGTATAATTATTTGCAAGCTTATAGAATAGAAGCTTAGCTAGGTAGAAGGGGGGTTTGTTGTTGATGCATACAGTTGGCCGGAGATAGGTTGAGCCATCGCCGTCGTGGAAGAAAACAATGCCACACCAAGCACAAGCAAAGCAATAATGGACGTAGACTACTACCATAAGCCTAGCTAAGGCTTCCTTCCAATCCAAGAAATCAAATTATTACTATATTAAAAGAACAAATAATTTTTTTACTATTTCTTAGAGTCAAGAGTGGCACTTTTATAATTTTGTTCATCTTAACATGTGACCATTTGTAATTAACCATAAGTTTAGGGACTTTTTGGGTTATTGTGATTTTCACTACACTAATTTATTTCCTTTTCAAATGAATTCAAACTAAGTCAACCCGGTTTGAACCTGGTATTTTTGTGGGTTGGGAACGAGTTTTAATTTTATTTCCTTTTATTTTGTTCAGCGAGTTGAACTCGATGCCAACGATTGGGTTGGGTGTGCAATTTTGCGACAGCAACGAGTTTAGGGACTTTTAGGGTTTATGGTTATGAATGAATTTTATCCTCTTTTGTAATCATTGAATGTGACTTTTAGGGTTATGAATAAATTTTATCCACTTTTGTAATCATTGAGTTGGGTCAAGAACGCTATATACCCGCCTTATCCACTTTTGTAATCATTTTGTCCACTTTTGTAATCATTTTGTTAAAAAGTTTCCCCGCTTTATCGAGTTGAATCCAGTGTTGACAAATTTTGGGTCTAGTAGGAGTTTTGCCCTTGACACTAGGCGTGAATGAATTTTATCCACTTTTGTAATCATTGAATTGGGTCGAGAACGCATTTTACCCGCTTTTTCCATCTTGGTATCGGTGTTGCCAAATTGTAGGCCTGGAACGAATTTTACCCGCTTTTGTAATTAATGAATTGGGTCGGGTGTGAACTTTGTTAAAAACTCGCCGCGCTATATCGAGTTGAATCCAATGTTGATGATGTTTGGGTCGAGGACGAGTTTTACCCTTGGCACTTTTGGGGGCGTGAATGAATTTTATCCACTTTTGTAATCATTGAATTGGATCGAGAACGTATTTTATCCGCCTTTTCAATCTAATTCAACCCGTTCAAAGCGAGTTGAACCTGTGTTGATGATTTTTGGGTCGGGGATAAATTTTACCCCCTTTTGTAATTCTACCTGGTATTGGTGTTGCAAATTTTAGGTCGGGAACGACTTTTATCCGCTTTTGTAATTAACGGATTGGATCGGGTGTGGATTTTGTCAAACACTCGCCCCACTTTATCAAACCGGTCAAAGAGAATTGAATCTCGTGTTTACGGGTTTTGGGTCGGTTCTTATTAAAAGAAACAAGTAAAAATGGTAATGTTACTTAGAGTCACATCAAACAGATGATTATTTTGTTATTTCCCCCAAATTTAAGGACTAAAAATGCAATTATGTTTGACTTTTTAATCAATAATACTTGCTAGAAACTAGGGTCATGTATTTGATGTCTCGATGAGAAGCACCACTGTTAGAATGGCTTTAACATTTTTATTAGTTGCCCTCTGCAGAGTGATAAGGAAGGGATTTTGTGTTTTGCATCGGTATGTTTTTTTGTTGCCTATAATATCCACATTTTTCATTTTCTCTAATGATGCTTATTGATTTCCCTCTTATGTTGTTTTCAATTGGTTACTACGATTCTGATCCATGGGCGGGTTATCCGAACCCATGGATCCTTGAGTCACCTTGTAATGTCAAAAATTGTACAACATTTTCACTTTCTATGTGAGTTGCCTCTATCTTTCTCCTTTCCTCTAATCCACAAACCCAACTCGGATCAAGCCATTTCGGAGAGGGTCCGTTGAGCTCCCTTATCTATAATGGCAAGCGCTGGTAGGGTAAGACGACATCACCAGCTGATGAGAGGGCACCGGCGCGTCATGGAAAAAGATGAAGATTTGTTTAAGTACTTTGCATCTATATGCTCTTTTGATCCCTATAAACTATATTTTCATTTTCCCTAATGAAGCTAATTGCGGTTGGCATTCTTCACCTATGTAATCTGTATTGTTGTGTACACTGTAGTTTGTTTGCTAATATATATATTTTTACATTCCACCAGATTATTCTACAAATTGCATGCTTAATGTGAATCCAGATGTCGTAAATTAAAAGTCACTACGAACCATGAAGCAAACCATGCCCTGGTTTGTCTGGCACCTAAAGAGTTTAAATCGTTGTTGCAACATCAACAAAAACAATGCCTCAGAGATCGATGCGGCATACAATTTATGGCAAGAAATATACATTGCGAGCCCACACTATGATGAACCACACATTCACATCTCCGCAATCTAGCACACACAAACTTTTAAACCACTGCTTTGCTGTTAGTCTAAACTAGCTACCCCTTTACTCACTTTTGATCGTGAGGCCTTGCCATGTGTACCATATGGTGTTTAGGATCTCAATTTCTACTGATGCTGCATTTATCTCTATCTATCAATCTTGCCTTTTGGGTTCCAATTGTCTTCTCTTTTTGCATCCCTCACATTAATGTTTAAGTTGTGTTGTACTTTTAATTCAAGAACGTAGAATACGTTAGCACTTTGTCGTTTGATCAATATTCATGGTGCAATAATTTCGCGCCCCGCCGCGTAGCGTGGGCTTCCATTCTAGTATTTATTACATTAATTTTAGTGCTTTTCAATACCCAAGATTCGGGGTATTGTCAAAACTTAATTTATTAGGTGTCAAATAAGGTTTTGATAGTTTCACATTTGGGGCAGACTCATAGCGAATTTTTTTGGTTTGGGTCTAAATTAGACTCATTATATTTGGTCATCCGAAATAAAATGGATACTCGATTATAATGCGGTTTTACATTTTTCTTTGTTATGAAACAGAGAGAAATGTGTAAACACCAACATTGAAGGTGTGAATTGGTTGAAGGCAGTTAGTGAGTAGATCGATATTGTTCTTTTGTGTGTACAATTTCTAGACCCAAATAGACCAATTCGGATCTAACACAAACGAGTTGACCTAATGTTAGAAACACGCCCATTTGGGATTTCTCTAATTAATTTTAGTAGGATAATTATAATTATAGTTAGTAGTTTTTTAGTCGAATTAGAGTTATTATTAGGATTTTCCTGTTTTTTTCCTATAAATATGTATTGTCGATTACAATGAAGAATAATCAAGCAGAATAACAAAAAAAGTATATTAACCCTAATCTTCCCAAATCCTCTCAATTCTCGACTATTTTCTCTCCCAAAGGTTGTCGGCCAGTTCTTCCCTATCTTTCCTAATTCTATTCTTCAATTCATAATCTCCAATTCTTCAAGCTAAATCCATAATTATATTCCCATTCCCTAAATCTCTATCTATTACGAGTAATATAATCACGTGTAACGAAGATCAGTCACTAGAAGTGCTAAAAAGAGGATTTCTAGCAACCAAATTAGGCTCATCCAAATTCAATCGCAACTTAAAATCATTAAAAGTACATATGGGTTTATTTAGATCTGAACCAATACTCATATGAGTCATAACTCATAACAATTAGGTCAAATTATTCAATTAGCCATACTAATTTCGGCTAAATTGCAAGTTTGGTCACTCGAATTGCTACAAAATTTCACGTTTGGTCACTCAAATTCGTTTATTCCATTCGTAGTCACTTAAATTAGTTGAACAGTCCAAGTTCGGTCACTCTTCGTTAACCTCCGTCAGACTCCGTCAGTTAACTGCTGACGTGGCTAACAGAGATGCCTAGTCACCCAATTTTAACCCAAGAAAAAACAGAAATTGACCCGCCACGTCAGAAAAACATGCCACCTCATATAAACACAACCCAACCCCACCCAACCTAAAAAAAAATCATTAACCCACCAAGAAATCGAACCCGTAACCCATCCACCCTTCTTCTTCTTCCTCTATACCCTACTTCCGCCGCCGCCGGGGGGATTTCCCCTCAATCTCCCTGCTGCAGCCCCCGCCGCCGGATCCATATTCGCGAGGAAGAAGAAAGACGAAGGTTGCTAGGGAACATGCGTTTGTTTAATGAAGGAAGTAGGAGATTTATCCCACAACTTTTGGAACCTCACTCCAACCATCATTAGAAAACATTGTTCATTTGTTCAATGAAGGAAGCAGGAGATTTAACCCACAAATTATGAAAAGATTTCACAAATCAAGATCATACACAAGCACATACGAGAGACAAAGGGAATCATATATATATATATATATCGAGAAAACGACTTATTCCTGACCGTGAAATGAACGCCAATTAATTAATTAAGCATGCTTAAAGCAGTAAGTACCCAAATCAATCACTTGATCCATGACTTGGGCTTGGCAGCAGAAGCAGCAGCTGGCGAAGTAGTTGAAGTACGGACGAACTTGTTCTTCACATGACTAATATAGTCAGAGAACTTGCTGTCCTTCCCAACCCCTGAATTGCGCTTATCATAATTATACCGATTGTTGTCGCCGCCGCCAACGGTGGATAGCGTCCGGAGCTTCCTCCTGACCCGACCGATGTAATCGGTGAACCTGTCCTCGACGTGAATCCTCCGGTGGCTGTTGTGTTGCTGCTCGCCGCCGCCGCCATCATGCGACTACGGCTTGAATGACATCGCAGCAGCTCGATTGTGATGTGGCGGCGGCTGGGGTGGTTTGGATTGGATATCGATCACTCTTGTGGTGGCGGCAGATGGATATATGAATTTGGATCCGGCGGCGGGGGCTGCGGCAGGGAGATCGAGGGGAAATCCCCCCGGCGACGGCAGATGTAGGGTATAGAGGAAGAAGAAGAAGGGTGGATGGGTCACGTGTTCGATTTCTGGGTGGGTTAATGGTTTTTTTAGGTTGGTGGGTTGGGTTGTGTTTATATGAGGTGGCATGTTTTTCTGACGTGGCTTATCAATTTCTGTTTTTTCTTGGGTTAAAATTGGGTGACTAGACATCTCTGTTAGCCACGTCAGCAGTTAACTAACGGCACTAACGGAGTCTGACGGAGGTTAACGGAGAGTGACCGAACTTGGACTGTTCAACTAATTTAAGTGACTACGAATGGAATAAACGAATTCGAGTGACCAAACATGAAATTTTGTAGCAATTCGAGTGACCAAACTTGAAATTTAGCCTACTAATTTCCCTCCCTAATACCAGATAGTATAGTAATATAAAAATGTGAAAATGGTAGGGTAGCCGTTCATTTAACAAACATTGTTTGCAGTTTGCACCCACTGCTGAACCCAATTAAATAACTTGACCAAGTTGAAAATAGTTTTGTGATATTTGACGGGTTAACTCCTTCCCGCTAGTCATATAATTATCGAGGAGGACGTTCCATCTACACATAGTCTCTCAATTCTAATTAATCGGAAATTGCCATCCTTTGCTTACGCTTCAATCAAGTTAAAATGCACGTATAGTTTATGAAATTCTAATTAATTAGCTCTATGAATGCTACATTTGAATCTAAGTCTCTCACGATAGCTAGATAGTGATAATCATTCCTCCGCATCATAACTCCCATAACTCCCAAAGTGATTGATTTTTTTTATAATAACCTATTACAAGGTACTATTTGAGGATAATCGAACACACCATTTTACAATGGAATGTGTGCCAACTCACTAGTTAGGTTGACCCTCGTTCGCCCTCAAAGTGATTGTTGGATAAAAAATAACAAAACAATTGAAATTTTCATCATCTCAACTAGGTCCATAATATTTATTTATTTTTATTACGTGATCACGTTTACAATACTAATTGCTTTCACTCGATAGGCCTACCAACTGTACTCAAAACAAAAATTTACAGGGGTTGGATACTATGCCTACTCTCAAAGGGGTCGGGTTTTTGACACCCTATTCTTGATTGGTCACTTTCCATTAAATTATTTGACAAGTTGTATTAATGGAAGTTGTTTTTTATTTAATTTTTTGTAATCTTGTAAACTGTGATAATAATTATGAATGGGGAATGGACAATATAGTTGGATGGGGAACTTGACGGCTCCTATAATAATTACAAAAGTGTCTTTCATCTCCCATATTTCCTCTGAAAAATAGCAACACATCCCTCTCCTCTATAGAACTTGACGGCGACCGGAAACCAAAAACATCGCAGCGGTGGGATTGCCTCCGACCCGCCTGATGGGTTGCTCGCCGGCAGAGCACGAGAAACAGGGGATATCGCCGGAGATAGAGCCAATGAAGGCCACGCTGGGACGGAAGACAGATCTGAGATTCCGCGCGACGGTTCTGGGCATGCCAAGAATGGCGACTCTTCTGACGACATTGAATGACGGAGAGGTGAAGACGAGATCAGACTGTCCTTCCGACCGCAGGATGGACTGATGGCCGCCGAGAGAGAACCCGCCGAAGATGATGAAGAACATGGAGGGCGGTGGCGGGTCGTTTCTTACCGCTCCCTGTCGCGAAGTGCAACCCAACAGCGTCTGGGGGACGGCGGAACTGCCGTGAACATGTACCACTGATCTGGTACATATACCATTGATTAGTACATATACCAGTGAACTGATACATGCATCACTAAAGTGGTATATGTACCAATGACCTGATACAAGTACCAGTGCAGCTATTCAAGTCATACTTTTCACACCAAAATGTGACCACCCACTTGCAGTGTTAGATATACTGTACTCTTACCATTAACAAAATCGAAACTCATTCTAAATGTTCTCATTGCAGTGTTAGACATACTTTAGAGTGGTACCACTGAAATGGTACATGTATCGCTGAACTTATAGATATACCTGTGAACTGATACACATACCATTGCACTGATATCATTGAACATATACATGTATCACTGAACTTATAGATATATATTATTGAACTAACACACATACCATTGCACTGATACATGAACCACTGAACATATACATGTACACTACCAATGAAAAAATATATATACAACCAATCTGATACGTAAACAAACCATGAACTTTTTATAAGTATCACCACTAACCGTGGAGCACAAGGTGTTCTCAAAAAAGGGAAATGCCAACAACAAAAATTATCCAGCAATGTAATAAATAAAAATGAAGTCACTATGTAATTGTTTGTGGGAAGCCTAAACAACGATATATCAGGTGCCAAAGGATCACTACAAAAAAGACAGACAATTGTGACGAAAACCTACTGACGACACTGTTTTTTCGTCAAAAATAAGCATCATTTTCAACGAAATGGACATTTTGTTGGAAGAAAAATTATTATTTATGACCACAAATTGTCTGCGTCATAAATGATATAGAAAACCCGTCATAAATAATAATTTAGACAAACTTGAGGAATCGTGAGTCACTATTTGTGACGAAACTTGCTATGGCGTCAAAAATAATTACTATTACTAACAAGGTGAAAAATGGCGCCAGTAATATATGCTTTTTTTTACGCCCCAAAAAAGGTCGTGGAAATACTTAAGTTTTTTTTATGAACCATCTCCATTGTCAGAAATATTTCGTTGGAAATGATATTATTTGTAAGTAATATTTTGATCCATTAGAAAAACTCTACATTTTTTTACCATCAATTACTGGTCGCCAAAAAAAGTTGGTCATAATAAATGTATATTGCAATGCGTCACCGAAATCATCATAATTACCATAGTAATTTTTTTACGAAAAATATACATTTGCGGGATATAATGTATCATATATAATTTTTTATGACCAAACTATTGGTCGTCAGAAATAAAATGTTAAGATTACCAATGTTTTACTTAGCAATGACCTTTTCTAACGAACAACATAATTCGGTTGGAAATGATTGTATAATGTACAAAAAATCTCACATGTTTAGAGGATTGAACCAACAACCATGAGTTTACAATGATGAGTACACCTCAAGTACACTATCTTGTTGTTTGTCAACTTTCATATTTGTGTTACCAGTTACTAATTGACTAATGTGTCAAAAATATAATATTATTGAGTAACGAAAATTTAAAAACCTACATCAAGGTGGATCGAACCAAACACCGTAAATTTACATAGTTGATTTCACACCAATTAGACTAAAAAGGTATAGGTACAAATTTAGGTGAACTTGTACCATAAGGTATAGGTTCAAGTTCAATTAGACCATTAAGGTACATATACAAGTTCAATTGAATTTTTACCATAAGGTACGTGTACAAGTTCAATTTGACCAATAAGGTTTATGTACAAGTTCAATTTAACCATTAAGGTATATGTACCAGCTCAATTTGACTACTAGTGTACATGTACAAGTTCAATTTGACAATTAAGGTATACGTACAAGTTTAATTGAACTTTACCATAAGGTATATGTACAAGTTCAGTTTGACCATTAAGGTATATGTACAAGCTCAATCAAGGGTGCTCTATCACCCTAGGCAGGTATTCTCTTTCTAGGTTAAAGTAGAAACAACAGGAATTTGATCAGGATTCATGCCATTCAACAAATCATATCGCAATTGAATATAATCATATCACTGAATCTGTACTTGGGTTCATACAATCAGACCTAACATACAAATCTAGGGTTCTTCATACCCAGGTAAATAAGAAATTTACTCCATAGAGAGAGATGGGAAATCTAGCTCAGATGCGGAAACCATACTGTGAAGGATGAGATTCTGTTTCTGGCACTCAATCAGCTCGTCTCCAAGCTCAAGCTGGGTTCCAATGGTGATGGAGATCGATCTAAGGCACTTGAAGAATCAGGTTCGTCACTTTCTCTCTCTAGGTATATGCTTTGTCTCTCTAAAACTCGGTTCCCCCTCCTTTGGCTCGAAATTGGGTTAAAAACCCAGAATTTCCCGACCACACGGCCATGCCACACGACCGTGTGGATTACCAGTTTGCCCGTGTAAGAATGGAAACACCGCGTTTTGATTAGTGGACTTCAGGCACGTTGCACGGCCAGAAGCACACGGCCGTGTGGATTTCCAGTTTGGCCGTGTGAGCTCCCTGGACTTTTCACACGGCCACAAGGGGTCCCCTACACGGCCAGTGTGGCTTGCCCGCGCAAAGTGGTGCCACGCGGCCAAGTCACACGGTCGTGTCGAATTTTAGGCGTGCCCGTGTGAGTTCCTCAGCTTCTCGCCAAACGTTCAATCTTCGTCCAATCGACCCCGAACTCGTTCCCAAACTTTCATTCACGTACTAGAACCTGAAATATCACAAACAAGAACAACCTAGCGTGAAATCGTCCTAAAACAAGAGAATTAAGACTCAAACGGTACAAGAATGGTGGACTAAAACATGTGTATATATCAAGTCATCAACCAACGACTGTATTTCGTCATAACTAGTCATTTCCAACGAAAAAAGGTCTTTTCCAACGCCAAACGTTTGGTCATAACTGACTGTCTTTTTTGTAGTGGATGACTGAGTCACTTTGGTAATGCGACGGAAAAACAAAATTTGAATTATAGAGTTGGGGCTACACTTCCTGCCACTAATATAAGGAGTACGTTTCCTCTTCCCCCTATCTTGTTGTCCATTATCCCGGCTCTAACGGCATCACTTCTTACTGGTACCAGCACTCGAGGAATGATTTTGACAATTTCTACATGACGAGGAACATAGGTTCCAAGCCTCTTCCCTCTAGGCACCCATGGATACAATCTCTTCATCCTATCCATTCCTGCACCCAAGGATACTCAGAACTATCAACTCAGTGATAGACATAAGAGATCAGCACGTAAGAAAACTATAATTGCAGAGATACCAAATCTGTGGTACATCAAAGAAACAACACTCAAGCAAAACTATCACGGTAGTGGTACTATTATTAGTCATACTAAAGCATTTCATACCATTCCAATGATAGCTACACAACGAACAATGTCGAAT